TGTCGATTAAATAGTACATCGATTGATGCAATCGATTGCATGAAATATAAAATAGGTAAAGAACAGTTATGTTTAATGCTCGTATTCATTAAACTGCACATAAACTTCACGGTCTCTTTTGATAATCAAACAAACCAACAAACATGCACCAAGTAAAATAAACATAATATAGTAAAATGAGCTCATCGTGAATAAGAAATTATAATTTCAATTAATATGTCATTATTATCGCAAACATTTCTACCCACTGCCGAAATAAGTGCGCAAGTATCATTTTCGCGTCAAGTACGAAGGTCATCGGCAACCTCGTTTAAGCGAGCATTTTCTATAACCTCGTATTTTCTATAACCTGCAATGTGAAATTCAATTTTAACTCAATCATTCGAGGTAATAAAGGAAAGAGTAGCGCCCCTTATTCCAAAAACATAAAAATGAAGAGAGAGAGAGAGAGAGAGAGAGAGAGAGAGAAACACTCCCTTTTGCAATGCCACGCCTTTTGAATTTTAAGCGTATCAAAAGTATTCTAGCCCAAGCTCGTCCGGTGGCTGGCTAAGAAAATGCATTAAAGCCTCGTGAAAAGCGAAGTCCAGTCGGCACTCGTGCCAATTCTATAACCGACACCTCAAGCTCCACTAGCACGCACCAACCACTAGTCAAAACGCTGTTCCCTCTAATCAAGTTGGAACGTCTCGGAATCTCCCAACCCAACCTCTTACCCAACTATTCCCAAATCTCTTCCTCATTTCGCCACCGCCACCCGCTTCACTCTACGGCGCTTTTTCCCATACGTAATGCAAGCTCCTTATCGGCCATCGGCACGTGCGGCGCACATCGAGATTTAGCGGGCGCCCCGAGCACAAAAGCCGAGTGCGAAATTGAACTAACTCGCGAGAAAATACGACAGAGGCGCACTCCGTAGGTGCACACTTGGCGTGTAGGCAAAAAATGGGAATGCAAGCGGGAGAAAAATTATTTCTCGAGGTTCTAAACGTGATCACTCCACTTGCGCTGATCCCACGAGCGGATCTCGAGGGAGAAGGAAATTGAATTATGCATCGTCCTTTAGACTCGCCGCTCGCGCGAATTATCACAATATATAAACTACAACGCGACCGTAGGTGAAATTATTTGGGGCGGAGGGGGGTAGTTGGGAGGGAAAAGCCATAATGGTAGATGAAAAAGAAGAAAAAAAGAAAAATGGCTCCTTTACTTATGAATAATGTATTTCTGAAAAGCATGTCTTCGGTATTGGTGCTCTTTTATCCAGGTTAATATCTATTTCACAATATCCTAGCGTCTCTGTTATCACTCAACATTCAAATCGAACGTTTTATCAAGTTCATTACAATAAAGATAATATACTTTAATTAAAAACTATTCGCGTTATTTTGATATTATTCGTTTTTCGTATGATAACGGAGATCTTTTTTTTTCTTTTCTTTTTTTTTTTTTTTTTTTTTTTTTTTTTTTTTTTTTTTTTTTTTTTTTTTTTTTTTTTGATAATTAATTCCATTCGGGTACATTGAAGCTGATAACAACCTTATATATTAGAATAAATATAGAGCAGTTTGATTTGATATAAAAAATACAAATAAAAAAATCAATGTTATCATCAAGACAGTGTGGATAATGGCAGTGATTAGTGATGTAAAATAATAAATAAACAATTTATGTTTATTTACTTTAGGAAAAATACTTGAAATGAACTTTCAGGATAATTCGACTGTTCTAGTTGATCTTCGATTGATTTGAATGCATTAAAAAAAAAAAGAGAGATACTTACAATTAATAAAATTTTTATTGCAAAACATAACGCCATTTTTCCTTTTCCAAAAAAATGCAAGAGCAGTTCATTTCAAAAAGCGCAAATCCAGATAGAAAGAAAGTACGAAAGTATTTATTTTGAATCATCGTAAATAAATACACCGATCGAATAATGAATTAGAATTAAAGATTTCTTATTTAATATTGAAGTACTAATAAATCGGCTATAATAATAACAATAATAATAATAATAATAATAATAATAATAATAATAATAATAATAATAATACATAACCGATTCTATCGAAAGTTTAAGATAAATTATTAATACTTTGCTTAATTATTTTAAATACGTTTGTGTAGGAATCAGCAAACAATATAATTAGAATCAAAAGCAATAAGATAATTGCTCAATTAACCAATGGATTCCTATAATTCAAGAAATACAAATTATCCGTATAAAATACTGTGTGTGCGTGTGTGTGAGCGCGCGCTAGCGCGCGTGTGTAAAAGAGAGAGATCGCGTGTGATCTTACATTTTTATTTCTCTTTTGCGCCAACTACCGATCGGCTGATATTGCTTTTGCTCGTTGTACGGGTCCCGTCGTTTCTTCTCTTTCGCACACCGTCGTCACGTTTCCCTGATATCAGCGTAACGTAAAGAATTCACTTTGTAAGAGAAGAGCGTTTTCCAAAAGAATTCTTAAGCACGCGATTTCGATAAAATGACTTTGTTCACTTTCTCCGGACCCTTTCATTATATACATATGCATCCGTTCTCTGTATTCTCCGATTCAAGCGCGCATTCTCATTCGATTACATGTTTTCTTTAGAAAGAATTGATAAAATTCTATGTTCTTTCATGCCCGCTATTGTCCTGCCTTTATTTTTATAAGCACCCAAAGCAAAATAATGTGAAAAACAAAGAGAATAATATGACAATGATAAATTAGATTGTTTCTCTGTGATGGTAATCGCCGTACATAACGTATTTATCTCATTGAATCGTTCAATAATGTAATTTAAGCAAGTGTATTGTATGTAATCGATACTCTTATAAGATTAATTTATGTGTATCTTAAAGCAATTATATCTAGGGAAAATTGTGTTTGCTTAAAAATAGCAATTTGATGGAATTGAAGGCATTAAATGTGTACGATTCATTTAAAATGAAAAGTACGTTTGAATCTTATGATTAAGTCGAGAATTATCGAATTTATATTGCAAATATCGTTTTAATTCAATTTTGTCATTTATCAGAGATAATATAGCACTTGACACTCAAGGCTTCTTTCAATTTCTTCGAAATTCAATTAAATTACTCTTATATCTACACGCATGCGAGATGGTATAAACGTAGCATTGTAGCTCTATTAATTAAATCTTAAGATATTCGATTGTGAATATCTAAATTGCCGTATAATTATTTGTCTAAATTCAATGATGAAAATATGTAGTTGTTGTTAAAAAATGTATTATATCGTACATATTCATTCGTCATACTAACTTAAGAACTGCAAATTGACCTTCCAATCGTTCATAATTATATTATAATCGATGAATTGTGCATATCTGAAAATGTATGAGGAAAAATGTTATCGACTATGTGCTATAAGATGATAACATTAATAGTAATAATTAATGTTTTCGTAAAATATAAGAGATCGTAAATCTTGTGATGGAGTACTTATATGTAAACAAGTATAAATAATGTATTAATTAGAATTCAATTTGAGCAGCATGAGTTTTATAGCCGTCCAATGTACATGAAGGTGTTGCATAAATCAATCAACAATGGTTTATACATTGTGCAGCAACGAGTTCTTTGCTCATTTATTTAAGTACTTAGCGCGTACGCGCGTTTGTATACGTGTGTATACGTATATACATACATAAGCATACGCGCACACGCACACACATATATATATATATATATATATATATATATATATGCATAAAAAGGCGAGCGCACATTGTCTCCGTAAGGCTCTTATGAATAAATCCCAGCATAATTGATGAGCCTTTGTGAAAACAAATCTAACGTCCAATTTTTGCGTTGTTCCAGGGCTTTTTCAGGCGGAGCATACAAAAGCAGATCGAGTATAGGTGCTTGAGAGACGGCAAGTGCCTGGTGATAAGATTGAACCGGAATCGCTGTCAGTACTGCAGATTCAAAAAGTGCCTGGCTGTCGGCATGTCTCGAGATTGTACGTATACACGCTACTCATCTCGCTTACTAGGAGATCAATTAAATTTCCCTCTGTCTTTCTTGCTAACTAAACAGCTGTTAATCTGATTTGAATTGAATTTCACTCGTTCGATGATAATTCGCGATCTCGGCGCGGTGCCGCATAAATCCTTTTTTTTATTAAGTGCGAGTAATTATTTTTAATGAATCGGCGAGGTGCGCACGTGCTTACGTCGTTGGCATGGCGAAGAGAAAAATTTCTTAATAAAGCCTGGATAAATTGTTTGTCTTATTGTATTGTGAACGGATAGTACGACAGTAGCCATAAAATTTGATTAAATAAATGCCTTTATAAATTTTATTGCCATTATACGTTTAGGCGTATGTACGCGATAGTCTTATTAAAAAACTCTATTTACGAATATTTTGTGAAAAATTGTAGCGGTTGCTTTTCAATCCTAAAATCATATGGATCTTCATAAATTACCGTTTATAATATTTTTGAATGTGGAGAAATAAGTGCAGGGAGAAAACGTTGAAAGATTCCTTGCGGTTTTATAGCCATAAAAGTATCTTGAGAATTTATTGCTCAACCCGTCGTTAAATTTTGCATACTTTGCGTCTGTATCTTTGAGTCGAGAGTAGTGCGCTAGTAAACGAAGGGAAGAAAAGATAAAAACACTGTAAAGAAGGATAATGCGCATATATGTATATGCACGGATATGTGATAATATATATATATATATATATATATATACACACACATTCACAAAATATTTATCTAGTAATAAAAGAGAGTAATATTCTTTGCGCTTTCCGTTACTTTATGCGTTTCGATTCACAAAATTTAGTTTTTATTTTAGACGCAAAAGTATTTCTTGACATTGACAGAAAGTACAAAATAAAAATATTCACAACTATTCGTGCACGTTTTTTATAAAAAAAAAAAAGAAAAAGAAAAAAGAAAAAAACTAATAATACTGCTGAATCTTATTAAATAAAATTTTCTCATTTCAATATAACTATCGGCTACAAAAATAAGGAATCTTACTTTAAAGCGGCTAATCGTATTTTTTATCGGTTCATCTATATCGCAATAAACTAACTTTTGATAAATTATTCTAAAACTATTTACAACGTATGAACAGTAAATTAGAATATTTCCAATACTTAATTTTTAAATGAAATAACTCGGTTTGACTGGTATACGCATGCCTGACTACTTCGAAATATTACTACTTATGATCCGTACGTAAAATTATATTTCCGCATTGCAATTAAACAACTTGAAAAGTGCAACTATAGTTTCACTAACTTTCTCCTGAGTAAACAGAATAAAAGGATTATGTGGAACTTATAGTCCGAGGGAGATATCTGAAGCTCGAACATAGTTGTTAAATACGCAAATAGCTCTTTTATTCAAACATATATGGATTCTATTACTGGAAGTGAGAGAAACGGAGAGTGACAGAGAGAGAGAGAGAGAGAGAGAGAAAGAGAGAATAACTTTATTAATTTTCATCAAAGATATTTTAGATGGTTGATTTAATGTGTTATTAAGCTTTTTTTGTTAAACCTCCTTATAAATTTATATTGGTGTTAATTTAATTTTTCTATATGTAATTGGAGAGTTTTTTTTTCTCAATATACACTTTTAAATATGCATATTTTTACAATAAAATATACGACAAAAGTCGTATTTAATATAGATATGTAATAAATATTGTTAAATACAATCGATACGTAATAATTTAATAATACAATAATTATAAGAAGGATTAATAATTATGTATTTTGGAATATATCCAAATGTGCATGCACCATCAATAATTTATTTCGTAAATAAGTTGTTTTGCACTAATAAACATACGTAGGCATATTCTATCATTACTATTGTTAAAATGTAAGCGAGTCAATGAGTATGAAATTGATTATAAACAATATTTACGCATATAGTTGTTAATTTCAAATCATGAAATGACTGTTAGTTCGTTCGCAGTAACGAAAGCTTAGTTTATCATTATGCCGAGGAGAATATCGGATAATTTAAAGTGCACTTAATTGAAGACATTTTACTGAAAAGTAGCGCTTAACAAAGTCATTATTACAAAAGCCAAAGTTAAAAGAACTTTTCTTCAACTTGAACTTTTAAGGAGAGAGAGAGAGAGAGAGAGAGAAGGAAATTTATCGTAGTTCCTCGCCTCTGCAAACATGAAAGAAAAGTAAAGCCGTGGGCAGATGAAAAACCGTTCCTCCAGCGAGTAAAATTTATAATCTCAGCAACGCATAAATCAGTCACAGCCCCCGTTTTAATACACGTTACGACGATATCGAAACCTCCAATTGACGCACACATTAACGCTACGACGCGGCGAATGGGAAGCCCCAGGAACTGATTCTCAACTTCGGGGGGAGCCGGGTTAATGGAAAGCTGGGTTACCGCGAGCCCAGGGTAAAACTTGGTCCAAGTGTCCCGTTCACCCGAGCGTGTATAACATTTTCCCGTGGCTTTGGAGTTTGCATGGGGCGCAACTCACGAGGGGCCAAAACCGCGTGTATAATTAAACATCTGCGTCTGCGCAGTCCCGTGTGATCTGCAATTGACGTCCTTAGCCGTGTCCTTGTCATTCTCTCCTACTTGCGTTAAGAATTGAATGCCACGTTTGTATTCGAAGGGCCGGAGACAATCCTTTGATGCTTTAATATAAATTGTCGATTTATATTCCACTCAATCTAATGATTAAACTATCAATGAAACTGATCGTCCTTCCATATTTTATGGCCTGGCTGACTTTTTACTGTGCGTCGTTCCATCTCCTCGCGTTACGCATAAACTGCAATATGTCATAACGAAAGTTAAAGTAACGCCAGAGCTTGCAAATTCAATTATACAGTCGTACGCAGTTTAATGTGACTAGGTAATATAAAACACGAGTCGCGTTACTTGGCTATAAATTAAAAAAAAAACAAAACAAAAAAAAAAACAAGCAAACAAACAAACTACCCGAAGCGCGAAAGAATCTTAATTAATTATTTTATCCGGCTATCTTTCAAATTTAGTACTCGTGTATTATCTTAAATTTTTAATACGCGCATCCGAGTATTTTATGAAAGTTTGCTTTACCATGGAGAGGAGGAATTATGAAATTAAATAAGTATCTAGCGGATTTTTATTATATATTTGAAATAATCGCGGAATACTCGATTTCTCCACTCTCACCCCGAGGCTGAATTTATCCTTTAGATTTAGAATGTTTGGAGCTAGGAGATTTAGCTGTCAAAGTAAAGGATTAAAGGGGATAAACGAAGTTTTTATCATTGCCGAATGTATAAGCATGAAAATACTATTGGGAAAGCAGTAATTAACGATATTTGGATTAAAATATGTGAATTAATTTATTGGCTTTGGAAACACGGAGGTCGACTTTGATATTCCGTGAAATATAGTAGAATGCGAGATTAAATTAAAGCCTGAAAATATCACTATAAATTAACGTATAATAATGAATAATGACGATTTCAATCTTTAATTTAATCAATTCCTAAACTATTAATTAATAAAGAAAAAATATTATTGTTCTTTTATTCCTCATTCTTTTTACGTTTTAAATAAAATCAAATTTTTATTATCTTGAGTGTTTAAGATTTTTAACACAAGATTGATGTTTGTTTTAAATTCACTTGCTTGATTATGATTGATCTATCGCAGTTGCGTTGTATATTTTTCATTAAATTAAAATTAATTTAATGTCACAAAAATTCAATACTTGCTGTTCGTTTATTTCATAAACGACTTATACCCATTGCTTTATAACATATTTATAATACAGTATAACATTAAAAAACATTAATAATTCTAGCATATATAAAGTCATTACGTAGTAGAAAAGATATTATTTACATTTCTAGGCAATTAAATGATTTTGTGACATTTTTTTTTTTTATTAAAATTACTGGCTCTATATTATGAATATACTTAGAAATTAATGGAGCATAAAGTAAATTAAATTTTAATTTTATCCCTATGTTATTATCCCTTATAATACTATGCCTTAATATTATTCTTTTTTTATTATTGAAACTCATTGTTATTGAAAAACACTATTATTTTCTATTATATATATATATATATATATCTACACGGGATACTAAAATGGTCGTGAAAAATAAAAACGTCAGAAAAAAATCGGTTGGATTAGCTTGTGTAAATACTATTGAGTATTCTATTGAGTATTCATTACTCTTATATTTTGACGAAAAAATATTGAATTTAGTTGTTTATTTTTTATATCTTTCTACCTTTACTGATTTTAGTCATGATTATTTACTTCAATCTTATCACATTATAAGCTACTTCTAATTGATTTATTTGATATGCTACAATTTTTTATGATTCTACGCCTTTCTTAAATCTTAGTAGCATGACTTTTTTATTATTTTAATATCCGTTCATAAAACATTTTAATTACTTTCGAAAATATAATTTCTTGCTTATCTTATAATCGCAAAGTATTTTGAGTAAATAAAATCATTAAATATTAATATTAATATTTATATTTTATCTATGTAAGGTATAAAATTTTCAAATACTATTATCTGAAATTTTCTTCTATTGCCATTGATGTACAATGTAAACAATAAGACTATTTATCTTTTTACAATTGAAATGAAGTTATTTTTTAAATGAACGTAATAGCATATAAGGCTGATTATTGTATGTATAAAGTTATTTTCCCAACTACTTAATCGCTATGAAGATCAATAATGGCTGTAAGGAAAACTAAATAACCGACTGTCTTGGAACATATTATAGTTATATAATTACAATATCTATTGTATATGTATAATAATTCTAATTAATTTGTGATAGATAAGCGAATGTATAATAATTCTAATTAATTTGTGATAGATAAGCGAATGTATAATAATTCTAATTAATTTGTGATAGATAAGCGAATGTATCCTCTGATTGACAGTTTTTAAACTGATTTGTTGAAATTCATAGATTATCAGTAAACCGAGATTACATTTGGTGTTCATATTAGCAATGCTAATAGATAGATTGATAACGTTAATCAGCTTGGAAAAATATTTTCTTAAAGAGAAACATGATTCCTCGATTACTCTTACTAATTTCTGTTATCCGTTTTACCGAGGCCACGTGTACTCAATACTTGGGCCGATGTAATTCAATATTCTTATTATCCAACTGATTTATCCCTTTTATAAATGTATTGGCGCGCTGTAAATGAATTCTATTCTCGAGAACTGTTTAAGAAACAGATCTCAATTTAATAAGAAAATTGAAATCACTTTCTCATCTTGGGTAAATTCTATTTCGAACGCGCTGCTATCCCATTAATATTCAGCAAACGGACTTCTATTTTAATTCCATTTGTCATTGGCAAGAAATCACTTTCACCACTCTCGATCAATTTGGCCGACAGATTATAATTGTCCCGATTCTTATCTCTTCCCCCTGAACAATTTAACTCGATGAAAGTTTCTTTATCCTCTAACTGCGGGCGCAAATATATAAAAAAAAAACAAAAAATTAAATATTTACAAGCTTTGACACAGAACTAACGATCCCCCTGACTTTTCAGCGGTCCGGTACGGACGTGTGCCGAAACGCTCACGCGAGCGAGGACCCGACGACGCCACGCCCACGACCACCACGACAACGAGTGGCGGCCCGACGACGCCCACCGGGCCAAACGGCATAGTGCCCCAGATCTCCGCCGCTCCCGTACCCAACAACAACAACAACAACAACAACAACAACAATAATAATAATAACAATAATAACAATAACAATATCAACAGTAGCGGCAACGGCAATACAAATAACAACAACGTCACCGGCTGTGGCGTTGTCGGCGTAGGAAGCGGCGTCGGTAGCGGCGGCGGTGGTGGTGGCATTGGCGGCGGCGGTGGCGGCCTCACAAACAATAACAATAGCATCAATAGCGCAAGTAACAACAATAACAGCAACGGAGGCAGCAACAATGGCACCGGCGTCGGCGGCGGCGGCGGCGGCGGCGGCGG